TTCAGAAATCTCTATCGCAAGATCCGAAGGTTTAGCATAACTTTTTCCCATCGAGATATATAGAACTCAGCGCGCTCTTTCATTTGATGTCAACTTCAAGGTTCTACGTTAAGGAGTGTGGTCAGCAAACGTTCTAAAAGTTAGCCAAATCCATCGAAAAATGACGAAAATGCATTTTTTCACTGAGAGGGTAAAATGGCTACATTGTCAAATATGCAAAAATCAGAACTCCACATTAAAATTTTCGTCGACATAAAATCAAGGGGAAAACAGTGATTTCTAAGAGATTCTAGAACTCCATAATCCACTACTTCTCCCATGCATAAAACACGTTCGAAATTTGTCATCATCATCAAGCAACAATGATTCTCTTGCACATGTTTGAAGTGAACTCGCTCTATATATACATTATCGCAGAATTGTTTTTTTGCATACTTTATACTGCGTGTGACTTTTCAACACAATGTTTGCAAAAATTTTCTTTGGCTTAACATCACAACAAAAACGATGACTCCTTGCAAGGAGTGATTATATCATTCACAATGACTCATCATTGTGTAACTCACTATGTTTTTCCTACTGTGTTTTTTCCCATTTAAAGGCTTTTTCTTCCGTTTGAAGAGAAAGAAAAGAAAAAGATGGTTTGTACCTTGCTCCTACTTCCTTTTGTTGTTTGTTTTTTTCAGAAAAAAGAAAATAATTATTATAATAATTTTTCGTTTAATGTCCAGTTACGAAATAAAGCTAAGGCAGATAGATATCAGATACAAACTGCGGTAGTCCAAAAGATGAAAGGTAAGCAAATGACATAGATTTTTGTTCTGCCAACATATGCACGTAATGTAAACTATAAACACTTCTCGTGTAGATCTGATGCGTGTGAATGTTTTACTATCGATCAACTGTAAAACTTGAATGATTTTTGCCCAAAATGTTTCGCTGACTCTCATAATCTTTGTTAGTGTCTAAGCATTAACATTTGACTAGCCTCCTTGTTTCATCAAAGGTTTATCATTTATCTTGTATGTTGTGTGACTCATCATATTTTTCCTACTGGGTATTTTCCATTTGAGGGGCGGAAGAAAAGAAAAAGTACCATGTTCCTAATTACCTCCTTGCGTTGTTCGTTCTTTTAGAAAAAGAAAATAATAAGAAATTGCTTGAAATTTGACAAAGTTATCCTCCCCTCTTGCTAACGCTTGCGGACGTACGTACCCACGGACGAGCTAGTACGCACACATAAATATGCACAAGTGTAAATATGTTTCATCCAGCTCCACGTTGTTGCAATACATCTGAATGGATAAGTTACACATTAGACCGAAGATCTGCGCGGATATGCTTTTTTGAGTGTTCCCGTTAGAAATCCTCCTCATCGACACAATGCTGCAATTTAAAATTTTGTTTTTGGGTTTTTTAAGATGCGGCGAGAAGTCGGTTTTGGAGAAAGTAGATCAAAATAGATAAGCTAACATAGGCTGGGGACTTCCCCTCGTCAAAACTCAGACGGTGATAAAAGCTTCTTTTTAAAATCCATCGTATCGCCATTGATGGTCTACGACGTTTATACAATACTAACCATTGCCTAACAAAACATGAGACATAAAAGATTGACTACAAAATGAGCCTGCACATGTTATTTTTTTCATAGGTGCTACTCCTACGACGATATTTCTACGCTGACGGATGTTTAAAAAGATATTTCAAAAAAGACATTTTTACCCGGAGCGGTGAGAGAATCGATTTGGTGTGACTAGATAAGGAAGTGAACAGTTATGAGATACATATTCTCAACTGTATTGAGAGAAAGTTACAGCAAGGCAGTCTCAAGGACTGCGCGCGTAGTAAGGGCCAGTTCAAGTTTCCAAAGTTTGAGCTTTATATAACGAAAAAGCGGTTGTAAAACAAAATTTGTTTATATCAATAACAAGCAATGCATTCGCATGTATTTTATCAGGTTTCGTCTTTTTTGTTAATGTACTCTGATCTATTGAGACTTTCTTATAATAGAAACATTTCTGTTTAAGTATTCTCGGAATTAATATTCATTGTGTTGTAACTCGATCTTGCTACTACAGAATTGAGGCATATATGTTTCGCGATGAGAACGTGCATATTTTCCATCTTAGTTTACAGAACCACTTGCTTTAGCTTTTCACCGGTGAGAAACATTTATCAGAATTGCTATAGTTCATCGAGACTCTGTAATTTGATTTACTTTTACTTCTCGCACAGATGTTCGAGTATGTTAGTTTTCTGAGAACGAAGCTGGTTTTCCGAAGATTCCTCAAAGATCAGAAAATTTAGAAACAAGTTTCCGCGTACGAAAACATGTCTTAGGATTTTGCGACGAATAGTAGCGTTACTGGCAAATCACAGAATTTTCTCATTATTAAATCTAAAATGATTCAAATCATTTTCAGCTATTTTATAGTTGTTCACTTTTATCAACATAAAACAATCCATTGTTTTCGATCGTCAAACGATGATTCACTTTTCCAGATACAGCTTTACACAATAGAAAGAATTTTGTTCCCTTCCACGCTATCGCCTATCGTATATACACATATATATGTAACATCCATTCACATTACAGCTCATCTCTTACGCACGAGCCTTCCCAGGTGCCCGGCTCGGTTTTTCAAACTCTATGGGAAATCCACCAAAATGACTATGTTATTCGGAATCAGAATCGTCGATTACATATAGTCATGCATGTTTTCAGAAAAAAACGATCCTGCTCTTGGATATTACTAGAATTTAGACCATCAGACAATTTAGACAATTATCAAAGAACGTCATCGTCTAGACTGTGCAACTACTGGATTGCAATATTATGACCATTCATCAACGCAGATACTTAATTATTTCAATGAAAACAATAAAATCTCACGTCTGAACAGTTTGTACATTGTTGTATACTATATAGTATACAACAATATAGTATCGTAGACTATCGAAAGCTCAATTCAATCAGAAAGAAAGACTTGTATCCTCAGCCGACAATGGAAGAGCTGCTCCAACGATCGGGTGGCCATTCATGGTTCACCAAATTAGATTTGGAAAGTGGCTATTATCAAATTCCAATTCAAGGCCAGGACAGAGGAAAAACAGCCTTTGTTACTCAAGACGGCCTGTATCAGTTTGAGGTGTTATCCATGGGAATGATGAATGCGCCACCGACGTTTCAACGAATAATGAACAACATCATTGGCTACCAGCGGTGGGACTAAGTAGTAATATATCTCAATGAGATCCTGATGTTTTCTAATTCATTTGAAGAACATATGAAATATTTACAAGAGGTCTTCGGTGTGTTAAGTGAACACCAAATTTCGACAAATGTTCACCAGCCAAACAAGCAATCGATTTTTTGAGTTACACCATCACAGAAGATTCAATTATTCCATCCAAAGAGAGAATGCAAGCCATCCTTGCCATTCCCCACCCAAAAACATTAGCTCAAGTGAACAAATTTATCGGAAAAATAGGATGGTACAGAAAATTCCTACCAAATTTTGCTAAAATTGCTGCCCCGATTCACAAAGTCACAAACAAGATAAAGAGGAAGAAACACGAGTTCTATTGGCATGATGCGCAAATCCAAGCGGCGAACAAATTGAAACAAATGTTGACAGAAGAACCATTACTGCTGAAATATCCACATCCAACGGCGCCATTCAGTCTGGCTACGGATGCGTCGGAGTACGCCATTGGTGGCGCATTGAAACAACTTGTTGACGGAAAAACCCACTATAACTATTTTCTGTCGCGGTTGCTGACACGTCCGAGAGCAACTACAAGACAATTGAACGCGAAGCGTTAGCTATTTTCTGGTGTATGAAGAAATTGAAAGAATATTTGGGTGGACGAGATGTTGTCATTCACACCGATCACAAACCATTGGAGCAATTTCATAAGGAAAACAAATTCAACAGCAAACGTATCGACGAATGGCTACTGAAACATCAAGACATGCTGCCACAAATGGTCGATGTAAAAGACAAGATGGGCAGCACACTTGGCGATGCTGACGGAATGTCAAGACCGGAAATTCATACACACAAACACTGTTTGAATGCCATTACGCGATGAATGACAACTATGCCCGTTCACAAACCAGTCGACGCAATGATTATTGGGCACACCTGGTCAAATCCATCAACACTTATAACCAAGCAGCCTGACAACACGTGCAGATTCAACAACGACAAGCAAAGGAGCGTTACGATCGGTATCGACAAGATCCACGAGATAGAACTAACGAATTAGTTTTGTGCAAAGTACCAGGGCATCGGGAAAAATTCGCTGAATGATTTTCCAGTCCTCATGTGGTCATCCACGCCAAACATTAATCATATACAATTCTAGATCCAGCATCAA